CTCTTTACCTCACAGTCAGGGCCCACCAGTGACACCTCCTTCAGTGCTGGTTGACAATCTCACTGCTTTTTCGTTCCTAACACTAATGCTGGGTTTTTGGTGAGTTTCATCTGTTTTCTGGCTCCACGTGGTATCTTTCTTTTCTACTCCAGATCTTTAAACATCCCATTCTACTCCTTTTATTTCATATTCCTTGCCTTTTTAAAAATATTTAAATTCATTCCTGTTTTCTGAAACATGTCAGAGCTCTAACCAACAAGTTTTGAAACTAATTAATACTTTTTTTTTTTGAGACAGAGGTTCGCTCTTGTTACCCAGGCTGGAGTGCAATGGCGCGATCTCGGCTCACCGCAACCTCTGCCTCCTGGGTTCAGGCAATTCTCCTGCCTCAGCCTCCTGTGTAGCTGGGATTACAGGCACGTGCCACCATGCCCAGCTAATTTTTTGTATTTTTAGTAGAGACGGGGTTTCACCATGTTGACCAGGATGGTCTCGATCTCTTGACCTTGTGATCCACCCGCCTTGGCCTCCCAAAGTGCTGGGATTACAGGCGTGAGCCACCGCGCCTGGCCAATTAATACTTTAATACATTTAGCTATTAAAAATGTCTTTATAGAGGTATAACACACAGTAAAGTGCACTAACCTTAAGTATACAGCTGAATGAATGTCTCCATGTGAAATGGAAACATTTCACACATGTGAAATCCCCAGCCACATCAAAATATAGAACATTTCCAGGAACTCAGAGTCTCCCTCAGGCCTGTTTCCTAGTCAGAATTACCCAAAAGAAAAAGGCCAGGCACAGTGGCTCCCATCACTTTCAGAGGCCAAGGAGGGCAGATCACGAGGTCAGCAGTTAGAGACCAGCCCCGCCAACTTGATGAAACCCCATCTCTATTAAAAATACAAACAAAAATTTAGTCAGGCATGGTGGTGGGTACCTGTAATCCCAGCTACTGGGGAGGCTGAGGCAAGAGAATCCCTTGAACCCAGGAGGTGGAGGTTGCAATGAGCTGAGATCACATGGAGACATTCATTCATCCAGCCTGGGCAACAGAGCAAGATTACATCTTTAAATAAAATAAATAAATCAATAAGGCCAGACATGGTGGCTCACACCCATAATCCCAGCACTTTGGAAGGCTGAGGTGAGTGGATCACGAGATCAGGAGTTCAAGACCAGCCTGGCTAGTAGCTCATCACTACTAAAAATACAAAAATTAGCCGGGCGTGGTGGCGGGCACCTGTAATCCCAGTTACTCAGTAGGCTGAGGCAGAGAATTGCTTGAACCCAGAAGGCAGAGGTTGCAGTGAGCAGAGATGGTGCCATTGCACTCCAGCCTGGGTAACAAGAGCAAAACTGTCTCAAAATACATAATACATAAAATAAAAATATATGGTCGTATATATGAACTTTTTTCCTCATGAGGTTATGGCCAAGAATTCAGCTGCTAGGTTGTAGGATAGACACAAATGTTCAGCTTGAGTACATGCTGCCCAGCAGTTTTCCAAAGCGGTTGTACCAAATTATACTCCCACAATAATGTCTGAGAGTTCCAGTAGCTTCACATGCCCCAGTAATTGGTGGTATTAGTCTTTTAATTATACCTGTCCTGGTGGGTGTGTAGGTGTCCTGGTGGGTGTCTTGTTTTAATTCATATTTCTCTAATAAATAATGATGTTTAGCACCTTTCTGTACGCATTTCGACCACTCGGTGATTTTTTTGGGGTTAGGTGATTACTGAAGTTTTTCTCATTTTTAACAGTTGGATTTATCTATTTATTTATTTTGAGATGGAGTTTTGGTCCTGCTGTCTAGGCTGGAGTGCAATGGTGTGATCTCAGCTCACTGCAACCTTCGCCTCCCAGGTTCAAGCAATTCTTCTGCCTCAGCCTCCTGAGTACCTGGGGTTACAGGCATGTGGCACCATGCCTAGCTAATTTTGAATTTTTGGTAGAGATGGGGTTTCTCCCTGTTGGTCGGGCTGGTCTCCAACTCCCAACCTCAGGTGATCTGCCCACCTCGGCCTCCGAAAGTGCTGGGATTACAGGTGTGAGCCATCATGCCTGGCTGACAGTTGGATATTTAAATAAATTTTTAGGTGTTATTATATATATATAATAATATATAAATAAAGACAGATTCTCTTAGTCAATGGCTTGCCTTTCTATCCTGTAAATGGTATCTTTGATGAACAGATATTCTTAGTTTTCATGAAGTTCAATTTATCAATATTTTCTTTCGTAGCTGGTGCTTCTCATAATCAGTTTTAGAAATCTTGGCAATCACGAGCTTCTCCTGTGCTTTCTTCTAGAAGCTTTTTTTGTTTTCCCTTTTGCAATTAGGACTATGATCCACCTCAAATACATGCATTTTCTTGAATCCAGCTCAAAATGTATCTAGTTTCAAAGGCTCACAGACCTAAATGTAAATTCACTCATGTTTTTAACCACTCATTCATTTTTTTTTTTTAATTTAAGCACCTACCATATGCCAGGCACTTAGGGGAAACAAAAAGCAACGAATCAACATTTAATTCCAGAAACAGATTGACTAGCAGGGGAGGGGAGAAGACTTGCAAGTGAACAATATCTACAAAGTAGGTATCAGAAGTAAAAGCAGACCTAAACTCGGCTGTGCCCTGATCATGCTGCCTGGAGTCACCGCCCTATGAACACAGGCAGGTGGATTACATTTCCTAAACGCCATTGATGGAGTCTTCAAGACCCTTTACTAGCACCCCTTTACTCTGGTAAAAATCCAGGTCTTTGTGCCTGGCGTTCAAGGTGTCCACCATCTGGCGCCTCTCTCCTTCCTCAGCCTCATTTTCTAGACCCCATTATCCTTCATCCAAACCCTGTACATGGACCCACCTAAATTCCTGAACAGAATCAGCTGATTCATCCTGCCAGCTCTTTGTCTCTGCTTTTCCCTCCTGCCTGAACGTCTTTCCTATGACTTTCATGCCTGAAAAACCTCTTGTCTCACCTGCCTTACCTCTGTGAAGCCTCTTTTGACTTGCTTGTGCACTGAAATCTCCTCAGGAGGCAGACTGCAAGGTGCAAATCCAGCTTCCATCATTTTCCAGCTCTGCAACCCCGGGCATGCCTAAGCCTCAGGTTCCTCATTGGGAATAACTGTAATTCCTGTTCTGCGTGGTTTTGCACAGAGTAAACCAGTGTGGCCAGGTGCGGCAGTGCTCGCCTGTAATCCCTGCACTTTGGGAGGCCGAGGCAGGCAGATCATCTGAGGTCAGGAGTTTGAGATCAGCCTGGCCAATGTGGTGAAACATTGTCTCTACTAAAAATACACAGATTACCTGGGCATTGTGGTGGGCACCTGTCATCCCAGCTACCTGGGAGACTAAGACAGGAGAATTGCTTGAACAAGGAGGTGGAGGTTGCAGTGAGCTGAGACTGTGCCACTGCACTCCAGCGTGGATGACAGAGTAAGACTCCATCTCAAAAAAGAAAGAATAAGCAAGTTCACCAGATACCATTGGGTAGCGTGGTGTCTGGCTCATGGGAAAGGCTTGGTGTTAGCCTTATTGCTCTGAAGAAGCAGCGTACTAAGAAAAATAAGGAAGAGGCTGCAGAATATGCTAAACTTTTGGCCAAGAGAATGAAGGAGGCTAAAGCAAAGCACCAGGAACAAATTGCAAAGAGATGCAGGCTCTCCTCTCTGTGAGCTTCCACTTCTAAGTCTGAATCCAGTCAGAAATACGATTTTTTGAGTAACAAGTAAGTAAGATCAGACTCACAATAAAATAAAATAAAAAGCATAGTCACATCCATCACACTAATGACATGTATTTGTTAACATTTTGGTCCTTACACCAGACTGCGAGTTTTTTTTTTTTTTTTAACATTTAGTTTTTATTGTTTTATAAATTCAAGATAGGGTCTCCCTATTTTGCCCAGGCTGGACTCCTGGGCCCAAACAATCCTCCCACCTCAGCCTGGGAGTTTCCTGAAATCAACAGCTCATGTCCTTAATTCTTCTGTGATGTGCCCATTTGTGAAGTTCTTATTCAGTGCAATTCCCTGTGCAGGGAGCTTCATGTCTATCATCCCCGGTGAATCCTTACAACCACCTACAAGATAAGAATTAGGGTCTCCACATTATGGTTTAAAAGATGGAGGCTGGTGGGTGCAGTGGCTCATGCTTGTAATCCCAGCACTTTGGGAGGCTGAGGTGGGCAGATCACCTGAGGACAGGAGTTTGAGACCAGCCTGGCCAACATAGTGAAACCCCATCTCTACTAAAATACAAAAATTAGCCAGGTGTGGGGGTGCATGCCTGTAATCCCAGCTACCTGGAAAGCTGAGGCAGAATTGCTTCAACCCAGGAGGCAGAGGTTGCAGTGAGCTGAGATCGCACCATTAGACTCCAGCCTGAGTGACAGAGTGAGATTCTGTCTCAAAAAAAAAAAAAAAAAAAAAAAAAAAAAAAAAAGATAGAGGCTCAGAAAGGTGAATAAGGGTGAACACCTGTCCTGTGCTAATGTCCTCAACCAATTCACGGTATGGCTAGGGGTTTGATCTTGGCTACATTGCAAAGTGTATGAGCCATTTATTACATATGGCAGCCTCTCTGTGCATCCCCAGCGCCTACACAGTGAACTCAGCAAATATTCAATGAATGGAATTGCATTTGATAAGCCCAGAACCTGCCCAGTGTTTCAAAATGTATCATGGGTTCTTTTGAGCTGCTAAAGGTCTCGTGACCCTCAAAGCCTAATCAATCCAAGACTGAGAACCTGTGGCAAAGCAGATAACATCTAGCACAGCTGACTGTGTTTTCTACTTTTCCCTCTTGGGAAACAGTAGTTTCAACATCATTAATTTGTACTTTATGACTTCAAGGTGTGCTCTCTAATTGACACAATGCTACCGTTCCAGAGGAACAGGTTGTCACTTTTCACAAAATTTGTCCTATTTAATGGAACTTTGTCTGGTGTCTAATTACCTCTCATTTCTTCTTTTGCTCTATTACAGTTCTAAGCTTTTGAAATGGTGTGCCAAGAGTCTTGAGAAGACCCTTTTCTGGCAGCTTCCGGAAGCTTGACCTCTCCAGCTCAGCTGTAAAAGTCTTGAAAGCGGAAACCACATTGTAACCATCTGTATCTCTTATGGCACCTGACTCAGGCAGGGATGCAGTAAGTCTTTGCCACATTCGTTATCTGCATTCTTGTTTCATGCTGGGCACTGGGCTAGGTCTTAGGAAGGAGAAAGGAGGAATGGGATTGAGATCTTGTCCTCTGGGAGCCTCCAATCCAACAGGAGATAAGACTGAAACACAAAAGTCTGATATGGAAAAATGGTATGTGTGGTGGGGAGAGTGGCTGACAGCTACCCTAGGCTACACCCCTTCTCAAAAGTGTCACTTGTACTTAAAGTCTGGTGTTGAATTCTTTAATATGAAAACAAGCATGGGTCTAATATGGAGTACACCGCGCCCCTGCATGCATTTTAAGGTAAAACAGGTGTTTGAAGATGCTATATTAGGTAGACTCCACACTCGATTTCCCTCCTAGGTGGTTTTCCTCTTCTCTGCCATGAGGAGTATTTTCGTGGGTGATATTGACAGACATTGCCATTGGCATCAGATAGAATTAGATTTTCAGTTCAAAGTCTGCATCGTTACTTCCTAGCTGTGCTGTGTGACTTTGAGCAAGTGGTCTGGGTTCTCTGAACCTCAGTTTATTCATGATCGTTGTGAGAATAAGCGTTTTTTTTTTTTTTTTTAATTTAAATTTTAAAGACGGGGCCTCACTGTGTTGCCCAGAATGATCTTGAACTCTTGGCCTCAAGGAATTCTCCCACCTAAGCCTCCCAACATGCTGGAATTACAGGGCCATGACACTGTGCCCAGCCAGGATACATGTCTCAGATAAAGCTTTGGTAACATATGATAGCTTTCATACTTATTGTGAGGAAATGAATGTTTATAGAGTGGATGGATGGATGGATGGATGGATGGATGGAGTTGAGAACAAGACAGTCTGTTGCCACATAACATAAAAAAGGCATATATTCCCTTTATCATTAATTCTTTGCAATTCTATAGCATTCTGTACCCTCAAAGTACTTTTATATTTACACAAAAAAATAAAGAAATTAGAGGTATCCCTATTTTACCTATAAGAAAAATAGGGGACTCAAGAAATGCCCACAATCTTGTACAAATTGAGATTAGTTCATTTGCGATTTGAACCAGCACCTGGTGTGGCATCTTTAACACAGCAGGTTCATCTGGGGTAGGAACAAGGGGAAGGCACACACCCTTCACACGACTGCCTTTCCTTTCTGCGCTTGTGCAGCCTGTGAATTTCAGCCATATATCAGCAGTCACAGAACACAGAATCCTCAGAGCTGGGGCAGTGAAGACTCTCCCACTGAGAATCTGAGGCAAGCTGTGGATTCTCCTCTCCTTGACAACACACATGCACACAGAAAGTCACATGCAGTTTCAGGAAGCCAACAGACACCCCGAAGCCTCTCCATCAGGCCTCCTCAGGTGCTCATGACCTCTTGACCATGAACACACTGAGACTAACCATCCCCAGAAACCACAAACTCATTACCTCCAGGCACACTGGTGGAAACAGTCACACCCAACATCACAAGCTCTTCAGCCAGGGACAATTCACCAACTCGACTCTGCAATCATTTTAATTCTAAAACATTTATCCTTCAATAACTATTCAAAGCCAAACCCATCCACCTCCCTCCCAGACTTTCACAGGTCTTGGTGGAGATGAGAACTGAGGTTATCTGTGTTTTAGAGATCAACATTGCCGGTGTGTTGATGGAATGGGGTGGAGCCCAGTGAACAGGATAATCCATAGCTTACTCACTCACAATCGATTGGCTTCACAACAGGCCATGGCTTCATCACCCTGAAAGCCAAGATTGGCCACAGTAGATAACGAACCAGATTTGCAGCTGAATGAGGCTTGGTAAGTCCATTCAGTTCACACGTTCATTCCACACGCATGTATTGAGCACCTACCATGTGGAAGACACTGTTCTAGATGCCTAGGATACATCTGACAGTAAAACAGAAAACTCCTTGCCCCATGAAACTTACATCCTAGTGAAAAAGGTGGACAAATACCGATAAACATCGTAAGTAAATTACACAATATATTAAGCGACAAAAAGCTACGGGGAAGAAGAAAAGGAGGATAAGGGGATTGGGAGCGTCTGTGACAGAGGGGCAGGCTGTAATATTAAATTAGGGTCGGGAAATCATTACTAAAGAGGACATTCCAACAGACTTGATAGAGGGGAGAACACACATTCCTGAAAGGACTGAGCCAAGATGCCGCCAACAGCGATACCCAAGAGTTAAACTTCATTCATGCCCTCAACAAATACTGACTGAGGGCATTAAGAGCTGGGTGTTTGTGGTCATCTAAATAGTGTCCCCCTTAATAGCTAAAAAGATACCCAGGTCCTGATCCTTGGAGCCTATGAATGTTGCTTTCTATAGCAAAATGGACTCTGCAGGTGTAGTCAAGGTAAGGCTCTTAATATGGGAAGAGTCTGCTGGGTTATCTGGGTGTAACCACGGAAACAGGGAGAGAGAGGGTGAAGGAGCATGGGGCCACAAGCTAAAAACGCAGGAAGCTGGAAACGGATTCACCCCTGGGGGCTCCAGACGGAAGAGCCCTGCTACTCCTGGGTTTTTATCCTGGTGAGACTCATTTTGAATTTCTGACCCCCAGAACTGTAAGAAAATCAACTGGTGTTGTTTTAAGGCATTACCGAGTTTCCAGTAATTTTTTTTTTTTTTTTGCATCGGGAGGAAACTAGTGTTCCTGTGTGAAACACGGAAGCACAGCGCTCAGGCCAGCGCGAGCTGTCAGTAGACTTCAGCAGCTGTTGTTGTTGTCGTTATTATAATGAGCAAGCTCAGTCCCTGCTCTTACCTAGAGAGGATGCACACACAACATGGACATCGCTGTCCCTCCTACGCTAATTCCAATGGTAATGCAAAGAACCCTGAACTAGACCACAGCTTCTTGCTTTCCTCAACCAAATGGCAGACTGAAGACAAAGTCACTACGTCAAGATGACCTTCAGGCAACCCAGGCCTTCCACCAGTCACAAAGCCACCCCCAGCTCTCCCACCTACTCCAGGAACACCAGTCCCCTTCACTGCTCCTGGGGCACAGAGGATGTACTCACCTAAAGAAAATACTGGTAAATCCCACCAGGATGTATGACTCTGAATGGAACACAGATAGGCTGGACTTACCTGAATCTCACCAGGACCCCGCGATGAAGACAGAGGAAGGCGTTTAAATATCCATTGCAGAAACAGCCATGGGACCCGGCACTGACAGGCATCCATCTGGGTCTCCAGGGCTTGAATTAAGCCTCGCTGGGGCCAGCAGAGAGCTGCTCTACAACTGCTTCTCTCAGAATGAAGGAAAAATCTAGAGAATGTTAGAGGGAAAGGGCAACATTTTTTTGCCCTACCTAGAAGATGTATCAACCCCAAATGGTGACAATTTGTGTTGGCACAACTGGATATCCACATGTAAAAGAACAATGGTGGACCCCTGCCTCACACCACATACAAAGATTAACTCAAAATAGATCACAGAAGTAAATGTAAGTGACAAAACTGTAAATTTATTTGAAGAGAACATAGGGATAATTCTTCATAACCGTTTCCTAGATGCGACACCAGAAGTGCAAGCAATCAAAGAAAAATTAGATAAATTGCATTTCTTCAAAACTTAACAACTTCTGTACTTCAGGGAACATCATCAAGAAAGTGAAACGACTACCTACAGAATGGGAGAAGATATTTGAAAATCATACATTTCATAAAAGGTTTACATCTATCAGATACAAAGAACTCTTGCAACTCAACAATAAAATGACAAGGTCCCTGATTAAAAAAGGATTTGAGGCTGGGCCCAGTAGCTCACTCATGTAATCCCAGCACTTTGGGAGGGTGAGGCAGATGGATCACTTGAGATCAGGAGTTTGAGACCAGCCTGGCCAACATGGCGAAACCCAAAATACTAAAATACAAAAATTAGCTGGGCATGGTGGTGCATGCCTGTAGTCCCAGCTACTCGGGAGGCTGAGGCAGGAGGATCCCATGAGCCTGGCTGGCATAGGTTGCAGTGAGCCATGATTGTGCCCCAGCACTCCAGCCTGGGCAACAGAGTGAGATGCTGTTTTAGAAAAACCAAACCAAACAAAACAAAACCAAAAGAATGAAAAAGAAAGAGAAGAAGAAACAACCTAAACGTTTACCAACTGATAAATGGATAAGCAAACTGTGGTATGTTCATGCGATGAATGTTATTCAGCAAGTCTGGGCATGTACTACCAGGCTCATGCCTGTAATCCCAGCACTTTGGGAGGCCGAGGTGGGTGGATCACCTGAGTTCAGGAGATTGAGATCAGCCTGGCCAACATGGTGAAACCCTGTCTCTACTAAAAATATAAGAATTAGCTGGACATGGTGGCACATGCCTGTAATCCCAACTACCAGGGAGGCTGAGGCAGGAGGACCACTTGAACCTCGGAGGTGGAGGCTGCAGTGAGCCAAGATGGCACCACTGCACTCCAGCCTGGGTGACAGAGTGAGATTCTGTCTCAAAAATAAAAAATAAAAAAGAGGTATGAGGCTTATTTAACGGCACCTTGAAAAAATGCACTGAAAAAAAAAAAGACGAATGTTATTCAGCAATACAAAGTAATGATATGATTCATGCAACGACGTAGATGAACCTTGAAACAGAATGCTTAGTGAAAGGAGGGTCACAACCCACATGTTATAGAATTCCATCTGTACGAAATGTCCAAAGTAAGCAAATCCACGAAGACAGAAGGTAGATTTGTGGTTGTATAGGACTGGGGTGCTGCGGGAGAGGGGGGGTTCGGAATGAGGAGTAATTCTAATGGGCACAGGGTTTTCTTTGGAGTGATAAAAATGTTCTAAAATGAGGTAGAAGTGATGATTACACAACTCTCAATATACTAAACTAAAATCATTAAGTTGTACATTATATATATATGACTGGCTGGTCTCAAACTCCTGGGCTCAAGCAATCCTCCCAGCTTGGCCTCCCAAAGTGCTGGTATTATAGGCATGAGCCACCATGCTCAGCTGAGTTGTACCTTTTAA